CCAGCCCTAATGTCTATGAAATCTATGAAAGCTATGAAAGAAAAGAGGCAGTAGAGTGGCCCCTGGGGCAGGCATTCTGCCCCCAAGAGACAGTGAAAGTGGGCATTAGCAACAGGTTAAAATGAAATCAAAGGAATCCCTTCAGAGACCTCTTGCTATGAACAATGTTGACAGACAGATGGCATCGGTCACCCTGCCAAGATGCTCTGCAGAGGCTGGAGCTCTCCTTTAACATACTGTCTGCCATTTCTTCTAAGCCAGGACTACACCCTAACTACAAGACATTAAAGGGCTGGTACAACAGGACCCAGCAGGAAAAAGGCTGGGATGCATCATCATCCCATAAATTTTCTCCTAGAGACTGCACTACTGTAGGTGGTCATGTCTGTTCTAGATACAATACCAGTCTTTTGCGTTTCTGGGCAGCTGATCTGGTGGTGATGTTCAGAAATGGGAGCTCTTTCAGTGGTGAAGGCTGGGTAGAGGAATTCAGGGGCTCATGCAAGACAGAGGAGTTTTCCCCATCATGTGGGACCAGCAATGGCCTTGGACCAGCATCTGTTATCTCTATGGAGAGGAAAGAGAGAAGAATTAAATGTATTTCTCTATGTTCCAAAAGGTAACAGCATCATAGTCAGAGTTGGATGGAGGTGATTTCAAAACCTATGGGAGAAGCAATGTCACAACCATGGAAACAGGACCTCATCAGTACAACGTATCTCTGAAGTCCCTGGTGGAAGAGCCTCCAGATAAAAGTCCTGCAAAGTTTTCCCACAGAAGTCCATTTTGGGATTTTCTCTTTCCTTCTTACAATAGTGGCATATGCCCTTCACCAGACAGTGTGGCAGACTTGGTTAACACACATTTCCCTCCCACCCAAAGAACCAGAGAAATCCCATGCTGGATACTTTCCACTTACATGAAATGGAATCTGCTAACAGAACTCCTCCATCTCAAACAAGCTCTACCTCAGGCTGAGTTTAACTGTGGCCTTAGCAACTGTTCCCTTCTGTGGGCCTTAGACAATAGCTGGCAGGCACTCACTGCAGCAGTTTGAACATGCTGACCAGCTGCCATTCTCCCACAATCTTACATTCTCTCTTCCCTCTTCTCTCTGGAGCTCATGCCATCTTTCTTGAACACTGGTAAACTTTGCCTTGGTGTAAACTGAACACCATTTATCACTTGTTACCTCCCTCCCATTGTCTTACCATTACACCTCACTATGCCGAAGACAAGAGTTCAACATCTTTGTACCTTAACTGCTCCACCTTCTGTGGTTTCACCCTCCAATCACAAGCTGCTGATTACATCACCTGCCAGCGACAGCCTATCAGGGATGTGCATCTGAAAGGATGGGGGAACATCCTCAGCTGTTCTCTCCTGCTCCAACAGGCCAGGCTCCTCTGCCACCTTCAGCCTGTTGGGCACCTGCATGCTTTGACTGATGGCTTCTGTGAAGCCCAAGTCGCATTGGATTCGGTTCAGGTCCAGGCTCCAAAATGGCCACATCATCACTTCCTTCCTAGGTCACTTCATCCACCTTGATGCCACACAGAGAAAGAGAGTGATGGTAGGGTTACCGTATGTCCAGGATTTGGCTTTGCCTCTGCTTTTCCGGCACTTCCTGGCTTACCCTAGCAAGATGCTACTTGGGACGTGTGTGTGTCCATCCGTCCATGCCTGCTAGCACTGGGGCTGCAGCAGGGCAGGGAGGCAGGGGAAGGGGGTGTGGGGTTCTTCAGGGGCAGCAGGAAGCTACGTGGGCAAAAGGGCTAGGAGAGGGGGGTGGGAAAGGGGCCGCGGGTCAGGAGTGAGGGAAACTGGCCGGGCTGGGTGGGGCAGGATGCTGTGGGTCAGGAGTGAGGGGTATCAGCAGGGATGGGGGCTGCAGGTTGGGAGTGAGGAGCAACAGTATGGTCCACGTGACAGGGTACTGTGGATCAGGAGTGAGGGTCAGAAGCAGGGCTGGGTGGGGGGTTGTGGCTTGGGAATAAGGGGTAGGGCATGGGCATATCACTGCCCCCACAATCATATACCCCCTCTCCCTCTTCCCCCCACAGGTGTCTTCTTTTTTGAAAATGGAAACATGGTAAGTCTCACTTAAAAACCTGGGCACACCCTGCCAATGCACATGGAGCAGGGCACAATGTGAAGTAGCATTAGGATAGAAATACCCAATATAAGCCAGACTGTGTTAAATTTGAAAGAGCAGCCCCTGCTAAGATAGAGAGGAGGGCTGACAGTGACTAAACATAGAAGTTCCAGGATAAAAAGAAAAGAAACTAGGATCTGGCCAGTAGTTCCTCTCTGTAACTGGATTAACAGACGTGCTCTGTACTTTGAGATCCTACAATGAGCTGACCAGTAGCCATTTTCTCAGGGTGAGAACGTGATGGTAAGATGGGGAAAGGGGCTTCATAGCTCACAGAAACAACACAGCCACAGGGGAGGCAGCGCAACAGAACAGACGGAACAGAGCGGGCACAGAGTCAGCTGCATGATCTCAAACAAGTCATGGCCCCTCTCAGTGCCTCAGTTTCCCCTTGAATATGCTGAGCTTTGCCATGTAGATGTGCTTTGTAAGGCTCCTCTGGCTGACAAGTGCTAGTACAATGTGTTGAAGCCTAGGAGTAACTGGGGGAAGGTAAAGCACAGCCCAACATCTTTGAACAGCTTTCCCAAGTGTCTGATGTAGAAATGCTTTGCTCTTTTTATAAGCTCAGCAGCAGCTGGGGGAAGCCTGAGAAGCAGAGGCAGCAGAGAGGTGATTTCCATGGGCATTTGTACATGACATGGTGTTTTGTCCTCGTTAATTAACCACGCCTTTAAAATTTTAGCAATGCTAGCAACGCGTTTGTGTTTGCACAACATGTTCTTTCCAGCAATGTAAGTCCTGTGCATCATTCCCCACAGGCTCCAGCAGGGGGAGCCAAATACCAATCTATCCCCCCCCCAGTTGTC